TGACCACTCAGTGTATATTGTTTTATGAACCATCTTTCACTTACAAGCTTGCTACTACTTTTTCGAGTGGTTTATAAAGTTTCTACCATATGGATGTTAGTTTCCGCTTCCCCCTTGTGCACCTACAACTTGCATTTTCATGTGTTAATACTGCCTTATGTACTGAAACAGTATTAAGCGAATTTGTAGTAAAACTGTGTGCTTACCAAAAATGGTCAATCAAATAATGCTATTTTTTTACACATAAGAGAATTATATCATAAAATATGCTGGGAATCAGCCAATCTAATAGATAAAAGTACAAATTATGTCAAAAGAAGAATTCTGGAAAGTTTATTAATCCAAAGATTGACAAACTTCAACACATTTGAAGATCACTTTAAGTTGAACCCCATTCTGACATCATATGCCATTCAAGGAATTGGAGCTTCTATTACAAAATAAGCAGAGTATTTGTTTCTCCCACAAACTTGCATTAGAATGAAAAGAACATATGAAATGTCAAACTAATTTCCATTTAAATTTGCCATTGTTCAATTAGTGTGTATTTAAACTTTATTGTAAACATTGTCAAATACTCTAGTAGTTTACAACAGATTGCCTTTAATTTCCACATCAATTACTTTGGTAAAATTTTTGGTTACGCTAAAAAGCCACGTAAATGGCAAAATTAGGCCAAATAGAGAATTTTAGATAAAAATCTCATCACTCAGAATTAATATCCATGCTGTCACCACTGTATCTTAAGTTCTCAATATACACTGAAGGTAAACACAACCTTCTTGATACATATAGAATCACTTTCTGCTTGTGTATTGTAACAAATTTGTTATTATATATTTATTTTAATATCGACGTTGTCTATATTAAGTTTATATTTAAAAACATGCATAGCTGTAGTGTTAGGTATGTATTGCGAAACTCCCGCCTATCCTCCAAAGTTGTAGAAGATTCTCGAGAGTAGGAATCAACAATATATGTGTGTACATAAACACTTAAATTTGTATTGTTACGTAAAACTGAAATTTCTAGAACACCTCCTCTCGCCTATAAATATAACCAACGCGATGCGCGCCAAGGAGAATATCTATTACTAGTTTGCTATAAACTTCGGTAGTTATAATTGATTAATATAAAGCTTATCAATCGGAAAACTTCAGATATTTGACCAGGAATATTTATAAATTTCGAACATTACAAACCATTTAACTTTAGTGGATTCACATCGGACATTAGTACTTTTACGAAAACATTGCCTAACGTCATCGGTGAAACTCGACTTGTAATCGGAGTGTGATCAGCGAAAACTACAGGGCTAGCTAGCTCTATACTAAATGAATGGTACCTATATCAGCTCTCTCATCGTAAACCCTCGATAAGATATCAAGGAAGTTCCAAACTAGAAAGAAGACTTTATATTTCTTTTAAGTTTGTGAAACTGTTATAAATCATTGTTTGTAATAACTGTTATTGTAAGTTTTATTGTTGTGTGCATATTAAAACGTATTTGTATAAAAGAAAACTGTGTGTGTGTGTCAGTCTTGTTGGCAAATATCGTAAACTGACTATATATCAGCTTTTACTTAACTACTAAATCCAAAGTACAATTTAACTACTAAATTTAAATTTATCAATTAACTCAATTTCAGACCATTTGAAATTCTAATACGTAACAGTATATAGGTAAGAATCAAATAAGTTTAAGGCAGCATGCTCAGTAAAGTTCTTTCTACTGAGCTAGATCATGGAATGATTTTTTCAAAATGTTGAGCAACATTTCACATAAAAAAAATTCACTCACTGCCTCAGGAAACAAGAGTTGCCAAGCTCTTTTAGTCACAGTTATTTATAAAGTAAATTAAGCAGCTTTTGTTCAGTATCTGAGAGTCATCTTATTAAGTGAATCTTTTCTTGGTAGCTTAGGAAGAAAATGTGGCTAAACTCTTTTGGTCCCGTGAAGCTAATAATCAACAAATCATCCTAACTGTAATAATTGAGTTGTAACTTTACAATGTAGTGCATACATCATATCTTACAATATCACCTGACAGCTCAGATAGTAAGGGTCACATAACCCTTTCTGCTGTTGGTTCCTTAATCAAACAACTGTTGTAACTGTGAAGATCGATTGGTAACCCTACAAAGTACTGGTACTCTGTATCTTACAATACCGCCTAATAGCTAAAGCAATGAACTACACTTCTATTCAGCTAGGGATCATGTTAACCAGTGGCTGTCCTAGCTAGTAATGACCAACTGGCCACACCAATATCTATCACGAGATTGACATTGGTGAGCAGGCCGACTATTGGAGCTGTTTGACATGTCTAACTCCAGCAATTATTCATCTGCCTCAACATAGACAGTCAAATAAGTACTTTCAGCTCTTTCTCCGGTATCAGGTAAATTAGTATGACTTGAGACATAGACAAAAAACCTCTCTCAATCTCATAAAGGAGATCAATGACATCCAGGGCTATCCTCTACAGTAGAAGACCAAAAATTCTCTGTTGAAGTTAACCATGTCTTGAGTGGTTCTTTCTCTTGGTGACACATACCATACAGTATTAACACCAGTGTCAAACATCTAGACTTGAATTTGGCCAGAAGAACATGTACCTAACCCTTTAAACATGGGCGAATGAAATTATCACCCACTTGACTAGGGAAGGACATTTATGTAACAAAAATACAGTAAATCTATGCATTCCTCACAAAACCTCGTAAAATATTTTCCAAGTTTATAAGTATTTTGTTCACAAAGAACGACATTATTCTGATTACGTCTTTCTAATAAAAATGTTATTTATCTATAAATCTGAAACAAATTTGTGAAAGGTGGGTTTGGCAACTGTCAGGAATTGAAAAAATTATCACTTGTTTCAATTGTATCCATTCAGGGAACTTTAAAATGAACGAGTCAAAAGGTTACGTGAGCATCTTATTGTCTAGACGTACCCCTAGTTAACTACTAGAGAGAGACAAAGTAAAGAATTTTCATAGCTCGTTGGTCACATGACAACACACCTCAAATTTTGAAAGGTTTATTGTGAAATAAAGGACTTAAACTTAGATTACATAAACTTTCGAATCCAAACATATGTTATAATATTAGTTTAATTTA